GCTGAAGGTGCACCTGCTGACGCACAGCAGCAGCCAGGGCCAGCGGCCCTTCAAGTGCCCCCTGAGCGGCTGCGGCTGGACCTTCACCACGTCCTATAAGCTCAAGAGGCACCTGCAGTCGCACGACAAGCTGCGGCCATTTGGCTGTCCGGTGGAGGGCTGTGGCAAGAGCTTCACCACTGTGTACAACCTCAAGGCGCACATGAAGGGCCATGAGCAGGAGAACTCCTTCAAATGCGAGGTGTGCGAGGAGAGCTTCCCCACGCAGGCCAAGCTCAGCACCCACCAGCGCAGCCACTTCGAACCCGAGAGGCCCTACCAGTGCGCGTTTTCGGGCTGCAAGAAGACGTTTATTACAGTGAGTGCCCTCTTCTCCCATAACCGCGCCCATTTCAGGGAACAGGAACTCTTCTCCTGCTCTTTCCCTGGCTGCAGCAAGCAGTACGACAAGGCTTGCAGGCTGAAAATTCACCTGCGGAGCCACACAGGCGAGAGACCCTTCCTCTGTGACTTCGATGGCTGCGGCTGGAACTTCACCAGCATGTCCAAACTGTTAAGGCACAAAAGGAAGCACGAGGACGACCGGAGGTTCACGTGCCCTGTGGAAGGCTGCGGGAAGTCCTTCACGAGGGCTGAGCATCTGAAAGGACACAGCATAACCCACCTGGGCACAAAGCCTTTTGTGTGTCCCGTGGAAGGCTGCTGCGCCCGGTTCTCGGCTCGGAGTAGCCTCTACATTCACTCCAAGAAGCACCTGCAGGATGTGGACACCTGGAAAAGCCGTTGCCCAGTCTCTGCCTGCAATAAACTTTTCACCTCCAAGCACAGCATGAAGACCCACATGGCCAAGAGGCACAACCTCAGCCAGGATCTCCTAGCGCAGCTGGAAGCTGCGAATTCTCTGACACCCAGCAGCCAGCTCACCAGCCAGAGACAGAGTGATCTCAGTGGTGCAGAGGTAATGTCTCTGTTCTCCGAGGTGCCTGGCGGGAGCTCTGCTGCGGTGCTGGACACGGCGCTGGTGAATTCTGGCATCCTGACTATTGACGTGGCTTCTGTGAACTCGACTCTGGCAGGGAATTTCCCTGCGGAGAATAGTCACTCCTTGGGGCAAGCTGTGGACCCTCGGGCCTTGAGGGCCACCAGTGACCTCCCTCAGAGTCTGGATACCTCTCTCTTCTTTGGAGCTACGGCTGCTTGCTATCAGCAGAGCCCCTTGGATATGGATGTCGTCTCCAGTGCAAATGTGGGGCTCTTTGGCTCATTGGCTCTGAAAAACTCAAGCCCAGAACCCCAAGCTTTGACTCCTAGCAGTAAGCTAACTGTGGACACCGAAGCCCTGACGCCCTCCAGCACCCTCTGTGAAAACAGTGTCTTGGAACTCCTGACCCCAGCCAAAGCAGACTGGAGTGTGCATCCTGACCCTGACTTCTTTGGACAGGAGGAAGAAACCCAGTTTGGATTTTCCAGTCCTGCTGGAAACCGTGGTTCCCAGAAAGAATCAGACCTTATCACGGTGACTGGAAGCTCATTTTTG